TTTGTCTCAATAAAATTGATTTGACTAGATTTTATAATCATATCATAACTGTAAGTGTAATGACAAACATAAATATTCACAAAAAAATACGAGTTTGATCATTTGCTTTGCTTGAAAATCAAGAAGTTATATTTACTTCATGAACATAAATTGAATAGAAGAAAGTTATATTTTGTGGCTTTTCGATTCCGACTATTTAAATTCCGGCTTCACTAAAAACATTTTGTGGTTGACTTTAAGCTAAACATCAATTTATTAAGCAAAATATCTTAAGAAAGCTATTTTCTATTAAAAAAAGATGTTTTGTAAACAGCTTAGCCAATGTTTGGAAGCAGAAGTTTCAGTTTATTTTTGGGTGAACATATAACCGAGATGCCTTTGTGATTTTTCTTATTTTTTTTCAATGTTTTTATTTCCCATTAAACATGCTATAAAACAATCTTTGTACAAATTTTCCGTTGGGGTTCATTGTGCCATTTTAATTTGTCGCAGTATACAAAATTCTGATTCTTTTATGGCATTAAGAATCTACATTAGATATTTTATCCTATGCAAACAGCTTTTTAATCTATTTGTTACTGTAAAAGCCCGAAATTTGGTAAATTCTAAGGTTTGTCAGTAAAACCTAAGATTTTCCAAAGTAGATTGGTAACTTCAAGGTTTTATTGTAAAAGCTTGGTAAAAACCGAAATGGAAAAATATACAAGCATTTTTTGGCCTTTTACCAAGCCACTATGGTTGAAGATAGGTTTTACCCGTAAAACCAAGGAATGACTAGATTTCGGTTCTTTACTGTAACAACTGTAAAAAATCCTTAGACTGGTAAATTCTCGGTTTTACTGGTAGAAACTTAGGATTTACCATAGTTGTTTGAAAAATCCTAGGTTTGTTTGAAAAAAAAGGCTCGGTAAGAGGAATGGGATATTAAAGCGTAATTTTGACTTTTGCCAAGTCACTTTTATAGAAACTAATTTTCACCGGTAAAACCTAAGAATTGCCAGACTTCGGACTTTTACCGTAACACATTAAAACATTATTCTATACATATAAATACCATTTTCTTATTTTCGTCCACTAACATATTCCTTAAAACTTTCATCGCGACAATGGCGTGCCTTTGTCCTACCCTCTGCGCTTAGAGTTCCCGCGGCACTAAAATTGAAACAAAACGCAAATTCCTTTAAAATTTGTTTATTTTACTTTAAAAAATAATAATTATTTAAAATTATGAAGTCTAAAAATATTAAAAAATATCTGGCTAACAAAAGCATGAATAAAAGAAACAAAACATATGACGAGATAAAATTGGGTATAATATAAAAAAAACACAACTACTTCCACTTAGTAGGAATAACATTTACCATGACGCAATGCTAAATTCTATGCCACTATCCACATAAATCAATTATTAATTAAAAATCGAATATCAATTACTTTTTCTTATAATGCAATAAAATCTGGCGAGTAGCTATTTAAACGATCAAACACTTCGTTTGTTTATTTGTGGCTTGAAGTTAGGCTCGCAGAAAATGCCGTTCATGGGTTAAATTTAGTAGGAAAAACACAACCTGTGACGTAGACTATAGTATACCCAATTATAAATAAAAGCACGGGACAATTTATGGAACATCAGAGAGTTGATGAGTTTTGAGGAGAATAGTTTTTGCTTTTGAATTTAAGGTTTATACTAACCCGTTATGAGTTTTTCTATATTTTTTACAAGGTTATTACTTACCCATTATGGGTACTTTAATTTTGCTTGTTTATGCGTGATTGTTAAATAAATATGTTTTTATAAAAAAAGAACTGTTTCTTAGTATAGCTTGATTCGTTACACAATCAATAACCATATTGACTAATATAACAATAGAGCACAGCGAATATTCCTAGAAGACGAGTTATCTCGTCCGTCACGATGAAAAAGATAAGGGTTTACATGCAAACTAAACTATAATATTAAAATAAAAGGTGTTTTTTCTGATGAATGAATTTCAGATTAGTAAACAATGATTATGATTAAAAGAAAAATAATCCGATATTTTTATCTTCCTCAAAACGNTAGCGTTTTATATAATATAGATATCAAAATAAAAGGTGTTTTTTCTGATGAATGAATTTCAGATTAGTAAACAATGATTATCCTTAAAAGAAAAAATAAACCGATATTTTTATCTTCCTCAAAACGTATATTACGACAAAGCTCAAACCACAAAAATGTTTCCACTACCTTACGAACTTCAATAATATCGTGTTTCGCATTCACTTGACCGATTTCCATGAAGATTTCACAAGGGATGCGATGACATCATGCAAAAAGTAAAAAAATAAAATAAAAATAATAAATTCGAGAATTCATTTTTCTCTCACACCGAGTTTACCATTTTTTTTCTCCACTTCCGTATATGTATTTTTATCAGTCTAAACAAGAAGCCATTACAAGATAGCAAAATCCCTTCTTCGTCCAGGTTCATGATCCATGAAGTGAAGCTTGTGTCCTCCGAAAACTCATATTTCTACTTTTCGCAATGGCTGGGTCACGTTTTCTGCCTTTTGTTGTCAATTCGCCGTTTTTCTTGGCACTGCATCCTTGATTTTACTAAATGTGAAGAAAAAAAAAGGTGTCTCCACGGTTTATTTACCTAGCTAAACAGAACCACTATTAAAGGGTTAATTTGTAGTAGCGATTGTCACCTTTAATTTAACATTCAATTCATCACAATATTTGGTTCACTTGCGTTTTTTAAAGGCATTAAAATACCTTTGGTTTACTAATGAAAAAGCTGGTTGCGCATGGATTTGTATGCAGTCTCGTATTCGTAACCGTAGCCAGTCAATGAAAGCAACTTATTGTAGTAGTAATGTAATTAAATTGGTTATACAATACTAAAATGGCTCAATGATGAATTCAACGCAACGTAAAGGTTACAAGCTTTGTATGTGAGCAATCATCTAGAATTCTATTTAAAATGTATTGTCTTTTAACATTAAATTAGTAGAAAACATTGTATTCGTATTTTTTTATAAGAAATTTACAATAAGATTTCAAATTTTTTATAATTTGTGGAACATATAATATGTTGTTAAAGTAGTTAAAGTATAAAAATTAAGGTATACATTTTGTATAGAGTTTTTCTAAAAATATCTTATATAATTTTTAAATAAATAAACTGATTCTTCCATTTCTTCTTATTGGCAAAAACATTTCTTGTAAAGCTGTTTTCCTCAGCAGAAGAAATAAGTTATAAGCAAATATCTTTTTCATTAAAATAAGCTTGATTCCGCTACTTGATTTGACGAAGATAGAAAGCACATTTAAAAATTATTTTTTCTTCATTTGCTTAAAATCTAATTTACTTTCAAGAAATTTTAAATTTTTTTAAATCAGAAGCTCAAATATTACTTTTAACAGTTAAAGTAACTAGTTTATTTTGGGGACGAAAAACATCTGATACAAAGTCTTATTTTCCTTTAATAGGAAAACATTTACTCATTTAAACCTTAAAAATTGTTGTATATAAAAACACATATTAGTTTAAAGTATGTGTTAAACATACATATGTGCTCACCGTTGGTACCCCCTAAAATCATGAATCTGCCACTTCAGCAATCACAGATTCGTGCTTTTTGTGTTATACCAACGATATTTCCTATCAAAAGTGTTTTTTCTTCACGAGTCAAATTCTGAAGAGAATAAAAATTATTAATGGTACACATTTATAAAAAGCCAAAAAAAAAAAAATTCTATTCTTTAAAGTTTGAATAGAATTTTATAAAATATAAATTATCGTTTTTCTCCTTTATACGATGGTCACCCGGAAAGTAAGTATTTCACATCCCATTAAAAAGAACATAGCATAATTCCCTGAGAAAATTTAATGCGAAAGATACAGTAATATACACTCTGCCCAATGAATTAGAAACCTCAGATTAATTTCTTATTCGACAGTTTGCATTGATGACAGCCCAAATTCAAACAAGTATCCATTCTGCAAACTTCTGGAGTGCATTTATGTCCGGAGCTAGGCGTGCATACTAGGTATCTCTAATATTAGTACGCCATGATCCAGAGAATACAATACATTAGTTACGCAGACTTTAAAGTACTGAAAATTAGATGTAAGAGAAGATTTCTGTCGAATTTAACTTGCCAAAAAGTCATAAACATTTTCTATCGGTTTAAGAACTAGGGTTTGCGGCTGTAAGGGAAGGCGTTAGAAGCCAAACTGAATGCTTCTGGCACTATTCATAGTTGCATTATCGTTCATGAAGTATTCGTCATTCTTTGAGTAAAAACCTAAAGTTACAGGAAGCACTTGATCTACCAATATGTACAGGTATTGCATGGCCTTTTATTCTCCCTCGGGAAACATCAGGACACCAGCAAAACACACCCCACATCATAATACTCCTACCAGACCCTTGAACGCCAGTGAGCATTTAATAAAACTAATGCTTTTGAAAGTATTTTTTCACGTGCAGGAGCAGATAGAAGTTGCAGGGTGCCTTCTCGCTGGAGTTGTAAATTCGCTGCTACAGAAGTCTCAGTGGGCACTTGACCAACCACCTGATAGTATCGATCTTGCTCCCGGCAATTTATCTTTCTTCTTCCATATGAAGAAATTCCAGTACGTACTTCACTTCCCCGCACAAGTGAAAACAGTTGTCACAAGCTGACGCCATTCTCAGGCTTACCGCCTGAGAATACCTATGATACCGGGATGCAAAAACTTATCCCTCACTTTGACAAGCGTTACAATTTCGATGGTTCTTATGTTGAGAAGTAGTTTTTGAAATAAATATTTCCAGATAATCACATTTTGATCCTTTTCTTGAGCCATGCGGTACATATTTCTGGATGACCCTCAGATGCATTGAGAATAATTAGTATTATATTATTTGTTTATCATTTTAAAAATATGCCAATTGTTAATTTAGTTCTGTTTCAATGCTATGTATTAAGCAAAACCTTTTTGCAAATTAATTATTTTATTTTATTGTAGGGTTTTGAAGATCGCAAAATAACCTTCACTCGGCTGGTTGACAGACAGATTTCCTGGTCGGATTCAGACTTAAATAGATCCAAATGGCCAGAAGTCAGACTAGTAGATGGACATTCCATCTTAGAAGGCCGTCTCCAACTATTTTACAAGGGACAATGGCATTCTGTTTGCACGAATTCCAAAAAGTAATCATTCATGTTTCTATAAACTATTGCTTAAATGTAGTTGTACTATTAATTATGTCATTAAGTTGCTTCTGTGTCATTCAGACTTTTTTTAATTTTTTACTTTAAATGGAAATAACCTCTGTTACACAGACAGACCAGTTGAATTTTAGTTTAAAGCTGCTTCATATAGCATTCAAGTAACTGCTGTGGCAAGTTGTTTTAATATCAAGTCTTTTGTCTTGCCTTATCTGATGATCATTTCAAGCCAAGTGGATTTGTGGACCCCATGTTAAAAATTTTAATTGTGATTCAATTTTATACAAAGTGTCTAACTAATATATGTAGATTATCAGATTGTGATAAGAGTTAAAATAGCTGTTGTGACCAAATGTAATTTTATTGTACTACGTATCAGAAAAAATTAAGTTTGAACTGGTAAATATTTTAAAGATGCATCTATAGTAGATTACATTAAAAACCGCAGTGAAGATTTCAAAAGTTTAATATTTCTCGTTTGCCTGAATAAATTTTTAATGTACATTGAAAATGTTAGAATAAGTAATTAATAAGTTATAGTTTTTTCATTACTTTATTTTTTATACGTAAAATGCCATCCGCAAAATACTGAAATCGAACGAAGCACAAGCCTTAAAGTTGAGTGACGTTGCTAATAATTATTTGCTTATTACGTGAATAAATAAAAAAAAATCAATAACGACAGGTCGATGCAAATCGTAGTATGTTTGCCCTTTCTTCAGGTCAAAATACAATGCAAACGTAACATATTACCCGGTAGGGAAAACTGACAGTGGACGCTGCAGATTATCATAGCATCTGCAGACATCTTTAACACTCAAATTATTTTTTAAAAAATGGAAGAAAATTATTTGGTCTCATTTTTAAAATGAGTCGTAACTAATTTGTAATGAAAATTAAAAAAAAAAGCCAAATTGAGAGAACATAACAAAGAATAAAAAGTAAGAAAAAATATTCTTTTTCTGTAAGTTGATTACAGATTTACACGGTATAGGATTTCTCCACTTCTCTTTAGAATCATTGTTCATTCAAATTAAGCTTAGAAGATACGAAGTTTTATGTATAATGTATAAATATCTATTCTAAGTTTGCTATATATCTGCTAGTTCAAGCTGAAATTTAGATTTATGAAGGTAGCGTTGCAGATTTACTCCACTAGTTGCGCTACCGGGCATATTACCAGTAATAAATAACTAATACATACACTCTTAGTACTCATTCTACATAATAATTTGTATGGAAAATAATAAGGTACTGTATAGTTTAATGGCTGAAAATGTTCGCTTCTCTTAAAGCTTGCTTGCCTATATTTTTAACTTAACTCGTATGTTCAGTGTTCTACAAATATATCAGCCCTGATAACTTATAAACTGGAACGGTTTCCAAATTTTGGTCTAAATATGCATAAATAAACTAAATCAAAAGCAGATGAAACTTATTAAATAACATGTTATAACTTTGCATTTGGTTAACTATAATAGTCAATTTCAGAGAACGTTGCATAGTTATAAAGAAACAAAAATTAATTGATATCACTACAATATTACTTTTTGAGGAAATATCGTTATATTGAGAAATTAGTCCTAAATTTGGTTCTTTAAATTTTTTATCACATTCTGTATGGTATAAATATTATATATGCATTCTCCATGTATTAAAAATTCTATGTCTGTATTATAAATATCAATCGCATTTTCAAAATCTACTGTTGTTAGAAACTTTGTCGCGTGATGAAGTATAATATCGATCAAATTATTTGTAACTTTTATACAGTGGCCTTCTTAAACTGTTATACTTGATGCTTTATGGTTCGATTTGAATAGAAATATAAATTAACTTAATTCCTTATTAAAGTTTCACGGTGTGTAGTACATTTTGGTGTTAGTCAGCTTGATTATGCAATGCTGAAGTTCAGCTTGAACGGAAACTTGGATTAATTTAATTCTTTATTATAATTTCGCGGTGTATAGTTTGTTACAGTATTTTAGTTCCTTATTACTGTACCCAATTGATTACACGATGTTATGGTTCGATTTGAAGAAAAACACGATTTAATCTAATTCCTCATTAAAGTTTCATGGTATAGTTCATGATGCTAGTTAGACTTGATGTTAGTTACCATTTTGATGTTAGTTAGCTTGATTATACAATACTAAAGTTCAGCTTGAAAGGAAACTTGGTTCAATTTAATTCTTTAATATAGTTTCAGAGTTTTTAGTTTATTACGGTGTTTTAATTCCTTAATACGGTATCAAGTGAACCTTCTTAAACTTGATTACATAAAACTTGATTACTTCGTTCAATTTAACTCTTTAATACGGTTTTGCGGTGTATAGTTTATTACGGTATTATAGTTCTCTAATATCACGATGATTTGAACATTCTTAAACTTGATTATACTCTGCTGTGGTACGATTAGAAAAGAAACACGATTTATTTAATTCCTTATTTATGTTTCATGATATAGTTCATGGTTTGTAAAACATTTCGGTGTTAAAAAGTTTGATTGCACAATACTAAGGTTCAACTTGAATGAAAACTTGTTTCTATTTAACTCTTCACTAAGGTTTCACGGTGAATAGTTTATTAACGTGTGTAGTTTATTACGGTATTATATTTTCCTAATATGGAGATAAATTGAATCTTATTAAGTTTGATTACACGATATAATGGTTTAACTTTAACACAAACTTGGCTCAGTTTAACTCCATAATGAAATCGCAGCAAATTTTACGTTATTATGAATTAAGGAACCAATAAAATGGTTGAAAGTTAAACCAATAGAATGGGAAGCTAGCTTTAGAAATGTGTTCATAGAAGAAAAGTAAGATGTTTAAAATGAAATGTTCTTCAACTTCTCCTCAAATACAATTAAAGAAATGTGTCTTATTTCCCTCTCAGCTGGACCGAAAACAGTCTACAAGTAATGTGCCGACAACTAGGATTTACGGGTGGTCATCTGAATCGTTGGTTTCCTCGAAGTAATGACTCCAGTCAATTTATGTATGAAGATCCCCAATGCTCAGGCAATGAATCGTCCCTTTTTGACTGTCCTAATTGGAATTCAAGACAAATTGGCAGCGGTGTGTGCGGTAAGTAGGCTCAAAAAAATAAAAATATTTTTCATTTTTTTATTTTATTATTCTGTTATTTAAATTTCCTGTGAATCTGGAATTTCACTTCAGTGCCTTAATCTTTTAATGTAATAGACTACGGTGCGTAAAATTAAAAAAAAATAAGAAGAAGACATATTAACTATTTTCGTTCTAACGATTTAGTTGTCACGCATAAGATACGGTTTTAACGGTTCGAAAGGCTAAACTTAAATGTGCTAATTATAATATTACTATATGCAGATGATATTTTAAGTTACGTAATCAGACACAAAGCATACTCAAAACAAAGATACTTCTTTTTTCTCCACTGATTTGATTTCTTCACTCTCCCAATATGGCAGGTAGCGGCCATCTGGAAAATGTGGTTATAGTGTTACTTTATAAGGATTATTAGTTTGCATCTAAATAAAATCGAACAAAGTATGCTAAGCGTCAGATTTCAGTAAGAAATAATCATAAAGAAATCTCACGATTGTTTTTTAGACTAACTTAGACTATCTTTAAACTTCATTCTCTAAATTAAACTCACATTGTTTGTATGACATTTCTTCAATTGTTGTCATACTCGTGTAAAATATACTAAGATCATAACTTTTTTTTTATTTTTAAGAAAATCATTTTAATGAAATCGAACTTTTTAAATTGCATGAATTAGGCATTTCTCTGATGCTGCTCTTGGAGATAGATGTGTCTGTCCCCTTGTTCCTTTTAGCTACGCAACTGAGTTTTTTTAAATAGATTTTAAACTCCAGAAACCCCTCGTCTAATATATTGTACCACATTCGGTACAATTTTATGTCTTAAAAATATTCCGTTAAGATTTTTTTTTCTGTTTGTATGCCTTTCGATAGTTTACGTAAAAATATTATCCCCCGTTGTTCAGAGTTTTTAAATACAATGAAAAATAGTTTTAAGAAAAGTAAGAAATTCAATTAAAGTACCATTTTACACACTTTTTGGCATATTCTTGCGTATATCTTATTATATGAGCATATAATTGTTCATATATTTGTATATATGAGCTTATATTTGTTTCACCGCCAAAATGAGAAGAAATCGACTATAAAAATGTCCTAAATTATGCAAAATATGCCAAAAACTGAAATTCATGATTTTTTTATGCTATATCTAGAAAAAGCTAGACTCAATGAATTGAATTTTGTTTTTCAGAAAACATTTATGTGTTTACTTTTTTTTGTTTACATTCTTTCAAGCTACATATTTACACTTTCATTTTTTGCCATTACTTAAAACGCGGGATTCGGGAAGTTTATGTAAAAGAAGTCGTTAAATGTCTTCAATGCACCAATATGCATAAATAAATAAACATTGTAAATTACCAAATTTTGATTAACAGTTTAATATAGTTTAACTATTTCCTTTTTCCGTCAAAATAATGGGGTTAAGTTTCGCTCCTCTTTTACTCGTGCCCGTGATATTCTATTTCTCGTGTCCGAAATAAAAACAATCTCCTATGCCCTGAATCATGGAATCATGCTTATTTCTCAATCTATACACTAGATGACAGGACCAGACTATTTGTAATATGTTTCGAAATATGTATTTTAAACTAGATGTAAACACTCATCAAACATGTACAGTGCGGAAAATAAACGGAGGAGAAAAAAAACCCACCTTGAATAATTTTTGATCTAAAAATCTGATTTTCACGTTCTAATATTTAATAAGGGGTGACCTCAAGTATGTTAAATAATTAGTGCAGGTGATAATTTAAGTTACGAAATCAGGTGCAAAAACGTACTTTCTCCCAATTAACAACCTTTTTTTCGTCGGATTCGAATTTCTGATCATTAAAATTAAGGGGATAACCGCAATCTGAGAAATATGGTTCCGATAGTTTGATCATGAGAGCTGTTAAAAATTTGGACCCCTTAATGTTAATTTTACTTTTCGCGTATTTCGCCATATCTCGAGAATTTTTTATGTGAATTAATAGCTTTTGTACAGAATTATAAAATGTATTTATCTAAAGATAATTTCACGCAAAAAAAAAAAAAAAACTTTTAGCAAATACTTTTTTTTAAAAATTTTATTTAACAATTGTTGAAAAAATTTGAGTTGTAAGGTGTAAAAATTTTTACATCATTTGAATGAATGCAATTTTACATGGCAAAATGCAATTTTGCATCGAATTTTAAAAATACGTCTTTTTTATATTGCACATACGCTTAGTTTTACTCAATTTTTTTCAATAAAACGAAATAGGCACTTTTATGACCGTTTTCTTCAAAACTATGCGACCATTAAGGGGTTAATAATTATTATACTTGAATACATTGTAATATGAATAAATACTAAACGTGAAGCAATATTTATAGCAATAATAATAAAAAAGCGATAGAAAAGTTTCTCTGTGTGCATGTTGTTATGTATCTGTGGTGGATATCAAAGTTTAAGGTACTTTTTTTATACCTGAAATTAATATTAATGTCCTTTCCACAAGCACTTAATTTACAGCCTGAAATAATTATAAAATTTTATGTCATTAACATTTTTTCCTCTTTCCTTTTGAGACAAAAATTATGAACTGTTATTTATTATAGCTTATGCCATTAATATAATTTATCATTATGACCGGAAAAAAATTTACGGAAAGCTTTTATGTTTTTTTCCGCATTTTTGTTCGAAATAAACATTTTGACGGCGTGACATTGATAATGGACTGAGGTCGTTAGACTCTCTCTGCTTGTTGACCTGGGAAATGATTCACAAGGTTAATCTCTTTAGTTTTCTAAACTATTAATAGAAAAACAATATTTCCAATATAATTAAATATGTCCAGTGGCATTTATAAAATAAATATTACTATTTCACTTGCAAGCAGAAATTATTATTGAAACATTTACTAATATTCGATGTTAATGACTTTAATAAATGTTTTGACTCTAAGCTGTAAATTTTACGCAATTATTATCACTCTTAATTCATTTAGAGTTATGCAGGGTGTTCAGTAATACAAACCCTTAATGTATATTTTTAGAAACTTGGAAATAAAAAAATATATGTGTTTGAAGTGGCAAATAAAAATTTACTAAAATTTTCCCGTAAAGTTCTTGTGATTTTTTTAAACAAATAATAATCTTTGGAATTTATTTTTATTATTCTGCAAAATATAACTTATGTTTTAATTCAACTTCGTATTTTCTTAATCAAATAAACCAAAAATTAATCTTCAATTAATAACTTATTAAAAATGAACAATTAATTTCAACGTGATTTATAAATTGTAGCAGTTTTAGCAGTTCCCATTATAGGTGATTAAAATAATCTTTATTAAATTTACAAATTTGAGAATTAAATAGAAAACCTGTTACATTTTGTTACCTCTTTAAATATAATAAAAATAAATAAATATATATATATATACAAGTTCAAAATATGAAGAAAACAAAGAAAAATATCATTTTGAGGAGAAGAAGAAAAATTATCATTAAATGAAAAAATTTTAAAAATATTTAAAAATTTAAAAAAAATTTAAACATCGGGAAAACAAATTAAGGAAAATATATAATCTCGTCGTCAGCTCACACGATTATAACACTGAAAAAGAGCGCTTTCTAATATTTTTTTTTGTATTTTGCGTTGTATTTTAAACTTATGGGTTCGATGTACTTGCAGCTAATGCGCAGTAAATAAAAATTATTATTAATATTTTCTTTTTCTTAATTTTCTTCGTTACTGTCGCATTTTTTAAATTTTTTTTATCCACTTTATTGTGTAATATATTATTAAAAATGAAATTTTCCGGAAAAACCGAAAGAATTAGCAGTTATGGGATTGATTTATAACATCTATAAGCCCTTCTTCATTAGTGAATGAGGATGACTATAATATTATTCTCAAAATAGCATAGGTTTGTACGAGTAATAGTAGACTCTGACCTCTGTTTGCCTCACTCACCCTCCCCATCGTTTTTTTGGCTGATGATAAATAGATTATTTCAATGTTTTTCAATTGAATTTTGAATTATAGTTGTGGATAATTTTTTGACTTTGAAATGTTAAAGGAAATTATATTATTGTAATAAGGTTAAATGTTATTTATGAGAAATTAGTTACCAGTTAAAGGATTAATTAGGAAATTATTTGAAAAAAAAAAAACAATTGTGTAAATTCAATTTAATGGTAGAATGACATTTACAAGATCGTCCCGAGGTCAACGAAATAGTATTAATTAACGTTCAGCGAAAATATATTTTAATTACTCATATCTTTATACAATTCAGTAAACGTCCTTTTCCTAATGCCGTTGTTATAAGATTTACTTAAAAGAAAAGCAATTCTAAGATCAGGTTTAAACTTTTGGTTTATCAATAAAATAAATAAAAATGAAATCAAAATAAGAACAAGCAAAAAGCGATAAAATTCGACACGCTTGCGTGCTGTAAGTAAACCATGTTAGTACTATTGGAAGAAATTATTTCTTGAAATTTTTTGTGGCACAATAGTTCTTTCCTAGATTCACCTGACTTCATCTTAGGTTAGTAATGTTGAGTCAACAAGGTTACGCAAGAGAAATATAGAAAGATTAAATGAAGATAGAGTAGAATAACATTAAAAAAGTGATTAAATGAAGATTTTCCACATATGGACAAGCGTTCGTTTACTCCATTTTTTTGAAAGAACTTGATCTTCCTTTATTTATTTTAATTAGTTTTGTTTTTCATGGTACATTCATCTGGCAGCTCTAATGTTATGTTTTTTTAATCTTTCTATTCTTAAGGTTTTTTTTTCATTTTCAAACATTATTTTTGTTTGTCGTAACTTGTTTTTGCTATCTATCTATCTATTTTTTTTTTTTTTTGCTGGATATGTTTCATTCTATTTTATATTTTTTGCTTAATACGTTATATTTTAATTTTTTTCCAACTTTTTGGTGCTCTTTACATGGAATATATTTTGTTTTGGATATATTAATACAATATTAGAAAGCACTTTTTATTTCTGATATAATCG